GATATTAACAAAAAAAAACATGGGTGTTTTTGGTAAACTTCCTTATAACGCAATTCCCACATTGTCCGCTTACCGTTTATTGCCACAAACCTGTTTGCCTACAAGCTTTCAGTCAGGCTTTGGATTGACCGTTTCCTCATTGTTAATTGGAGTCTTTAGATAATGCCTCTTTCTGCTCTCTCTCATCCGAATTATTAATACCAGTTTGCATTCTGCTGTTGTGGGGTTACTCGGATGAGTACAAAGATTGTGTTGCTGTCTGTTTAATCTGAGCGATTGAGTGATTGTCCGCTGTTAATGTCACACTATTCGTCTGCTGCAGCGAAAGCGATGTTGGTGAAACGAATACTTTACGTCTTATGTCCCACAGAGGAAAAAGCGTGCGTAACCTCATGGCCTACCCTTCTTTAGAGAATTGGGACATTACACGGTGAAACAGCTAATATTGGGCATTGGTGGAATACGAAAAATCTTTCATACAAGATAAAATAGGAATAGCAGTTTTTTACATCGATATTGGTGTGGCAATACGAGAACACTGTGACTGTTTACCATTTAATATCACATTAATATTCGGTCGATCAGCGAATTTTTTTTTTTTTTTGAGCAATAATAGTATCACCCATCTAGTGACACTATTAATAGAAGTTTACCAACTTTAATACTGAAATATTTATTTATTATTATCATGTATTACAAAGATCAGTCACCTCCACATGACTGTGTTTCACTTGCATTTACACAATTCGAAAACGCATATGCACACCCACAAAATCTTGTCATATACCGCTGTTCTTATAATTCTCTCCATCTCCCTGTTTCAGTTTAAACCGGTTGGCTATCGTTTACATAATTACTTGCCCACTGGCTGTGATGCAATCCTCAATAGGAAGGCGGATGAATAAACGTCGTAATTAGACAAAAGTTATTGTGATGCTTTATCTGGGGTTGTCGTTCTATTTACGGTTTAGGACGGAAACAGCGTTACAAATAACCTGCGTTTGAACGACGATGCAATGGAACGATCGCCTTCGCAGAAAACTTTTTTTTTTTTTGCAATCAAGAACTCATCTACGAATTATAGTTCGCCATATACTATTGCGTATAATTATTGTAACAGGCAGGAGGTCACGCCTGATAGTAGTAGTACGATGGGGATTTTAGTTTGGTTGTCACAATCTGAAGCAACATTTACATCCATAAATATCGTGCTTTAGTGCAATGTCTCAATACATGTTAATTGCACACGCAATTGTTCAAGGAAGAGAATTAACCACCCCATTTCCCAATACCGAATTAGTAGTTCCACCAAATTAAAAGTTGTTGTTACTCAAGACTTTCAATTACGTTGAATTGGTGTCGTTTCTTCCCTTTAAACAAAATTGGTGATACCCAAAAGTTACTTTCGAGACATCCATACAAAATCTGGTTGTATAAATTCTCAATTGAAGATGCTACCTCTCTCTCTCTCTCTTTATGTATAACAACTTGTGCCATGTTACGTTAAAGTTATTTCTCAGCCCGTGTGTCTGGTAAACCAACCGGTTTTCGCAATAACTTCTAACAAATTTTTAGGTGACATCATGTGAATGAGAATAAGGCCTTGAGGGAATATGTGGGGGAAAAAAAGAACTTTCGGGCATCATTTTGTTGCATACTATAATTGCTCTAGTCCTCTTACATGAAGCTAATAAATGACCGCATGGGGTACACCAGACAAAACGGTTGTTGCTTGTCGTACAAAATTTAGAGAGGTATTATGTCATTGATGAGGATATTGCGAATATCGAACAAATTGGGTAAGGATGTGACTCTGTACATGTACGGCTCCGAGCGATAAGCCGCTTTTTCCTTTACGAGCGTTCTAGTAAAATCGATAACAATGATAACGCATCATGTATAGTCTGGCGCTTTTTTTTTATCGACAAACATGACGAGACCAGATGCCACAAATTTATTACTGATAGATTCAATCGATATTGCTGCAATGTTTGTGGTAAAGAAGTGGATGGTAGTACGTCGACCGAATCTCATGTGCATTGATTGATCTGCACAAGCACACTGCATGAGAACTGCGAATGAAACGAGTCCATTTTGATGGCCGATCTTGGAGTCGTCGCTCCCGTCGTTTATAGCGTTCGTACATTCTATAAAAATGGTTTTGTTTTCACAATCTGCCTTATATCGCGCTCTCTCTTGGAACGGTTTGCTACTTCCTCCGTAGTCTTTGTTTGGTCAACCCCGGGAAAAACCTCATATCGCTGGGCAAAAATGGCCACGATTCTTTCGAAAGACAAGGATATTTACATTCGGTACAACCAAATAATTAAATAATAGTTCTACTGAATAAAGATTCGCAATTTGTACTCTTCGCTAATCTCCTGCTTGTATTATGCTTGGCTTCAATTACATATTTACAATCTCGGGTTAAGCTTTGAGATGGTTTGCTAGTCTAGTTTGACAGTTAACATTGAAATAGTAAGTTATTACATAATTATTCGAAAGCAAATAAGATTTGGTCTCTGTTCCCCGTGCGTTTCTGTGTACATCCTGGAAATCACATCCCAACACGCTCTTCTTCATCTACGTAATATAAAAGCTCTCTTGCATCATGGTTTCCGAATCGTTAATGGCCCGTTTGCGATTCCTCCATATACATATATATACGGAAACGTACTTTGCTCGTTTCTCTAACTATTCTATTTAGTGATATGCATTTCGTTGGGGTCGAGCTTTTTTGGCAGTTTGTCCACTATAAACTACTCCAAAGACGATACGATACACATCGGGGCGTACAAAATCTATCAGAATTAAAAAGTAAATCGGTGTGCTACACAAACGATAATGAAGATAATAGGCAGAATACTTGACAATCGATTGTAACCATTTTAACCTTGAATGCTGGGATCGGCTGGTTTTTGCCATTATTCGTTATCGTCCAAAGATAATAACCAACTGGCCTTTCTCGAATTCGGATATCAATCACAGAAATGTTAACAAATTGGTTTATCGAAATACTTTACGACAAGTCTGGCTCTAGAATAATATTCAGACGATTTTCAGACGATTTTCAGAATATTTCACAAGGCAATTCTTTCGACGTACAAGAGAAAACTTTTTCCTTGTGAAACTGCACATAATTTATTATGCATAATCTATGTGTGTTATGCATTAACATGTACGCATGCGTAAAACTCCAGTAAAAATTAAGACTGGACTTTTGATAGTAGAACTGTTCTTAAAATAGAAGGCGTATGGTTCGATCAATTACGGAATGGTATGAACCACAAATTGATCAAGAGTACGCGTTGTGAACGATAACAAGCGATTGATACGAGAAAATCGATTTATGATAAACAAAATAAACACAAAAACTATTTTCATATACCAACAATTGGAGTTTGATAACATTGTTTACTTGTCCTTTGGGATAACAAATGTAAGCTGCTTAATTTTCAACAAGCAATTTGCACCCGATCTTTCAAGTATTAGTACGCAAATTGATAAGCACTACCGTTAGATGTGGGACTCTAACTCGGCCCAGACAGCTACTGTGCGTGGTGTGAAATTTACATAACAAGACAAACTCTAAATTTGAATCGCAAAAAAGGCTGTTTAATTTTCAGTCCACACTGTTATTTTCCGCAGCAACTTATACTCCGTTCTTACTTGCTTTGTAAGAAGTTTTAAGTACAAAAACCGTCATGTGATTACTTTTATTATTTATAACTTATTTTTTACTGGTAAAAATAATGTTGTATTAAACTTTTTACCAAAGTATTTTATCCTCGTAGTTTAAGCCCGGTTTGCTACAGCAGCAAATCCAAGTCAGTCTTGTAGACCTCTGTGTGTTTGTTACCACACTTTTTAAATAAAAAGACAGGTTTCTGTCTCTTGTTCAAATTTTCACAAGATATAATAGTTTATTTTCGCCAAAGTAGTCCACTTGATTCTACGTTTGTTTTATAGCAAAACAAACATAAACTATTATTGTTTGAATATTAGATTGAGGGTAAGCTGTTAAGCAACAAACAATATTAATCTTTACTATTACTTTTTTAATAAATTCTCTCTTTTAGTGAATTAACAGAATTATAGTGCCGTTGAAATGTATTACTATTACTAGGACATAGTGTTTAATTAACTGTACTGCTTATTTTATAATATACCAGAAAAAACAGTAATAAACAAATGTATGTAACTCAACAATGGATTTCAAAAACGAATAGTAACATTAGTATGTAAAATTGAAAACTTGATTTGGGGCAGACTGCAACAAAACCAGACAAAGTGAATCAAAAATGGCTAGTGTGGCTGAAGGTTAACTAATTTGACTAATGACGTTTTGATTATTCACACAAATTACAGTCCAGGAAAAAAATTAATGGCAGTCAGCAAAAATACTGTTTATGTTGCAGTGAATAAATGTTTGGTTTTAAACTGCTTGAAAGCACCCAGTTAATTGATGTTTTTAAGTACAGTCACTTCCTTATAGTCACCTCCATCTTCCCTATAGTCACTGAACATAGTAGTTCTGACCAAATCCTGGTAGTCTATTAGTGTTCTTATACAGTATACAGTCAACCCTCCACATATGCATGCCCTTTGGGAATGAGCTGGAGCATGCATATATGGAGAGTGTGCATATATGGAGGGTGCATGTATTAATAGTTGAAATTGTCATGTGACTTCAGATTATGCATCGAAAAGTGCTGGTGCGCGTCCCTATTAACAAAACAAGTAGAGCGATTATTTTGACAAAGTTTAACCTAAAAACTACATCTTTCTAAGCCAACAGATTTTACCTTTTCTTTTCAGAAGAAATCCTACAAGCTGAAGGCATTTTGTGGAGTATGGTTCGACAGAAACGAAAAAAGTCGCTCGTCAGCTGAACAAAAATTTCAAAGTATGTGCCTTAATTTCCTATTAGCGTTTTCTTGACACTACGTTAGCAGAAGGAGCTACGGTGACATCGGAATGTTGTCTACCTTATGGTCGGAATGTCTGCTATGGGAAATGGAACCCTTACAACTACGGCATTATCTACCTTATGGTCGAAATGTCCGTTGTACTGCTTTGGTAGTGTGCAATTCCGTGTAAACTATGAGCTATACTTTTACTACTTATTAATTTGTTTATTGTTACTTTTCACGACGTCAACGTGTTTTGGAATAAACCGAACTGAACAGAAATCTACAAGATCAGTTGCACAAGTTGTAGCTTTCTTGCTTGCTCTAATAAATTGGCGTTTTATTAATGCGCTTCTTTTCATCAACTGCAGGTTAAAGTCACTAGGTTATTAATAAGTATCACGGCAGAAACCTTTGCGACGACAATTGAAAATGTTCATTCTGCTGTCGAAAATGTCAACGATCCACTGGTATGAAATACTGTCTACAATCACATTTATTCACTTTACTAACATATTATTCACAGAGGATTACAGGAGATCGGTCAGTAGTAGCCTTTCCTAACTACACGGCTTGTTATGGATAACCAACAATTCCTTACTTGAGTCAAACTTTCGACATTTTGTGGCTATAGAGGTAAATGCATGTACTAGTATTTGTTTCCATAGATAGAAATGCACAGCCCATTTGTGTTGCATTGACAGGAACGTGTCAACAAAATTGCAAGGGATTTTAAATCTAATTTACTCTTCCACTCCAAATCGGTCTTTACTTACGACAGATAAGTAGGTCACATAATAAAATCTTCCTCCGCAGTCAAACAAACCCGTGATCAACACTAATTTCACAAAAAGCATTAATTTAGTAATAAAAGCGTTTCGAAAAATCCGCAACGAACGGGTGCCCGCTACATTAGGAAACAAAATTGTTGCAAAACGCTATATTTAAGTGTTCTTCTAGAAATAGATAAAAGAGCGTTGCGTTTTTTCCGCAACGCTCGAAGTTATATAAGTAGCCCATATTCCTTACAAGTTCGAATATTGTTGTGAAATAAAATAATACTACTGATATTAGTAGGATTCTCCCGGAAATCCCTTATTTATAAATATACATAGTTTAATATTAGACCGGACACTCCAATAAACGGCTCACCTGGAAGAGCATTGATTTGATCAAGCTAGTAAGCTGTCCCAATTACGTGAATAACGGAACGAGAGTTCATAATTAATTATCGAGACGATTATTTATTATTGTTTAATTAGTTTAGTGAGACAAGTGACGGATACCGACTAGTCGACAAACAAATCGAAGATAGCCCTGTTTAATATTATTCCCCTTCGATTCTTTAATAGAATAATTGTTGTTATTGTTCTATTGAATAAAAGTTCCTCGCGATAGTTATTGTTCTATTGAAGGTACCCTTATTTGTATTCACGAGTGTTTGAAACTCGGACGGGAGTGAAAAGCGCGCATAATTAAAATAGGTCACTTGAGGTTTAATTCAGCCTTAATTGTACAACTATCGTAGTAAGGGCGCTAGTACGAGCTAAGCCTGGCCCCTCGGTTGACTAACACACCTTTGCGAAAGATAAATCGTTCTCCCAAACCCCCATTTAATTTCCGACCGTAATATTCCACGATGAAGAGAATACTGAAAAGAAAGTTGGTCATAGATGAGAATAAGAAGCATTGAAGCTATGATAACTTTATAAATTAGGTTATGTAAAAGTTATTATTACAATAGCTGTAGAGACCAAAAAGACTGGTTTCATAGTTTAGCATCAAATGAACATAACTATCATTGTAGTTATCAAGTTGCAGCATTCTTGTTTGCACCTGCTTGGAATACCACGGAATATAAAAAACTAACGCAAGATTTATTTGATCAACCGAGATGTTGCAAAATTGAATAGAAATAGTGATGCTTGCATATTCATTATTGAAAGTCGGAAGTAATTGCAAAGACATATAGGATTACCCATATATGGAGAATTATAATTATAATGGTTTGATTGAATATGAAAAAGCCATGCGTTTCTTGGAAATAGGCCGTAATTGTGGTTGCACAAAAAGATTCCAAAAGAAAAGTTTACCGAATTACGTGAGGCGTTTCAAGCTCTCTCTAGATCCGAACAAGATATGTGGGGTTGTTTTTCTGGCAAAGGCTTAGGCCCATTGGTAAAAGTGGAAGGAAAAATGGACAGATTCGATTATATCCAAATACTTGAAACCCATTTATTACCATTGATTAGTAGAGATTTTGGTGAAAAAGGGTATTTGTTTCAAAACCCATTCACACTGCAAAAGATGTTAATGAATGGGTTGCAGAAAGGAAGATCAGAACTTTACCTAATTGGCCAAACCAATCACCAGATTTGAACCTATTGAACATTCACGGTCAGAACTGGAAAGACGCATTAGCTCTGTTCGACATCAAATTTGTATCGAAATCGGTGCAAATTGAGGACAAAATTCCGCGTTCCCGTTCCACGTTTAGTTTCACATATCCCACTGTCGAGCCAATACTCGGGGGAGAGCGGAACGAATATTGACATTGGGATTTAGCTTTTTTCCAACGAGATCCTTGATTACCTCTATACTGCGGTAAATCCGCTATTGACGTTTGGTGACCTTTAAGTTGGGTTTAAACGCTCACGATACTAGGTTCGGTTCTTGCGTACGCCTTCTCTGGATTTATAATTAACCTCGAGTAAATGCGTCTATTTCTCTCGGCGGGATTAGGTCGAAAGCCTATAGGTTGTGAAACTATTCTAACAATTGCGCTATCTGAATTAATTATAAATCTTTATTGTCAATGGACGATAAAATCGAGGACAAGATCGATTCTATCAAACACCGATCAAGAAAGCGTTTTCAAGCTTTATCGGTTCTCCACAATATAGATCAGAGAATACAATATAAGTTCGGATTTGATCAACTAATAATATTAAGGAATATAATATCAGATTCAAAATCGAATCTGTTCAACCGAAGACACCGTTTGCTAAGGAAATTATGACTGTTTGTATATCTATTTCGAGTTCTGCGCCTGCTGCGCTGCCCTATACTCTAAAACTAGTAAATACATGAGGATTAAATTAAAGGAAACAAATTCGTCCGCATCGGGTAAAATCTGTTTCTTTTCTGGTGTAACTGACCCGATATATCGAAATCTGTTTCGTTATTTGGTCCTACATTCTTTGAGCGGTTGTGAACGGAATCGCAGCTGGCTTGGAATGGTGGTGTAACTCATCGGAAATCACGGAGGGATACGTCATGCTAATCGTAAGTCTTAACACCACTCAAAGACTTCAAGCGTTATTCTTTACAAAAACTCCATATTCCCGAAAGCCCTCAGAACCGTTTTCCGCAATACGACCTTTTATTTGTCAACATTTTTATAAAACGAGCGCGACGAACTTTCAGACGAAGAGGAGGAGCTAGACAGGAAGAAAACACAGGTAATTAAAACACAAACATGTTGTAAAAGGTGACAAAGATCTCACCAGAGTTATTATTATGTCCTGTCTTCTGGCCAGTTGTTTAGGTGAGAGAACGCGTCCTTTCCCAGTTTCAGGCACTGTTTTCCTTGGTCTCCCCCTCTTCTTGGGCTGAGACACCATTGTAGAGGGTGTACTAAATTTTTCTAAACAGTCTATGCTAGAGAAGTTTGCCATTGAGGCCTAAATGCATGTGTGATAAGAACGAATGGACGTTGCAAATTTTTCGTGCCGATTCGATCCAATCATGTGATTTTGAAGCCGCCAATCAGGGTTGACACAAATTGGAACGGAACAGAATTGAACAGGCCTATTACTATTAGAAACCGTTCGATTTTGCCTAAAAATGTAAGGGAACTTGAGACAGCATTACAGGAGGAATGGGGCCAAATTCCCAACAATGTTTTAATGAATTTAACTAAAAGTATGCCTAGTACTAGAAGGGTCAAAGCATGTATTGCAAGCAAGGGCTGGCCAACAAAGTATTAGTCTTATATATAGATTCAGAAGAAGTTAGACTATAACATATAAAATGTTAGTCCCAATTATTATGTACATTTTTGAGCAATTAACAAAGTTAGGGTGACTAATACTTTTGTCCAGATAGTGTATTATATATTAGGAAAACTTCAAGAAAATAATAGGTTGTTTAGAAGTTAAGAATTTGAAATACAGTTGATAATGCTGTTAAAGAATATAGAGTTGTAACTTTAAAACCTTACAAGGATTTTAATGACCTAAAAATGGTTGAGTAAGTTATCCAGAAAGAAGTTTAACTGGATTTGGAAGAGTGGTTTTTAGTGATGAATTTACTCCTGAGAATGTTGTAAAAAGTTTTGTTAACAAAGTATGATATTATGGACATTTTTTTGACCTTTATTTTAAGGAAAATAAGGAACTGAAGGAAAGCAAATGCTTCTGGAAAAAAGAATGCTGAGTTAGAAAAGGATTGAAGAAAAAGGAATTAATTATTGAAAAACAAACAGAACAAATTGCTGCAGCAGTATTAGATACCAAAATAAAAACTCACTAATACTAAGACTTTATTGGAGTTTTACAAGAATTAAATAGTAAAGTAATAATAAGAGATAAATTACATGCAGAGATGGCAGAAAAATCATTAGAAATTGAGACTACATCTATAATGAAAATCTTGTGAAGAAACCAAGCAGATCGAGATGAAAAAGTGGAAGAATTGGAAAAAACTAATGAGGGATTCAGGAAGTTGAAAGCAGACTACATATTAATAAATAAGAGAATCTTGAATACTGGTTGTTATTGTTGTAACACAAATTAATTTGAGACTGCACCATCGTTTCTCCATTTGTCCTAGAAATTATTGATTATTCAGATATAGAGAGCAAAAGAAGAGCAGAAAAAGAGACAGAATCATATGATAACTATGGCCCATACATTAATATTAGTCTGAACACCATTTTGCATTGTATTCCTTCTGGGTAAATAGTAATAATGGTAAGCGTTGTACCAATCATTCGATCTTTCCATATTTGGCGCGTCGCGCTTGTTGTATAATAATAAACAAATTTACTTCGCGACAAATGACCCGACCAGCTTCACCCTGTTGATTTTGTTTATCCCTCAAGGCTCTGCAGAAAACATGAACAAGGATAAAGTAGACCCCATAAAATCAAGACCTATGACTGTCCTTAGCGAAGTGGACAATCTACATACACCTACACCCCTGCCACGCGAAGACTTCAATGAGAGAAAAAAGCGACTTGAAGCTTTTAAGAAGAAAAAAGAGGCAGAGAAGACAAAATCAAAAACGTATGTCAATAAAAGTGCCCATAATTAGCATTGTTGCAAATTAATGCTTTTACCCTTTACAGAGGTAAAGTCCGAGTACCTATTTTTGAGCCGCTTCGACAACAGCCGCAATCAGGTCAAGCTGTACGAAAGCCTGTGGTCAAACAACAAGTTTCGTCTGGTGAGTGTTGGGATGATTGTCACAATCATTTTTAGTAAAATTCACTGATTAATTGTCAAGTATGATTAGATGATGCAAGATATAATAATTCCGAGAACACGAATGTGAAACAAAGTAAAAGTGAACACCCAAAAAAGGGTGCGAACGAGAGCCAAAAAGAAGCAACCTCAGTAGACACTAGAAGTAATGCTCAACCATCACAGATACCTGCCTCCTGCGTGACTCCTGGGCGTTCTCCGAGACACCTCGGCATAACTGGCAAACCTGTTCGTCTTTTAGCTGCCGATACTGATGATGTGCAAAATGACAAGTCGACTATACAAAAGATCCCAAATAGCCAAAAGCGATTCGGCCGACCTGTCGACTCATCTATAGCAATTTTGGCACCAATAAAACTAGACTCACCGGTTACAATAAGTCCACAACGAAACGCGAACCAATCTTCAAGTACTTCTGTATCAACGCAAAAGAACGGGGTGGAAACACCAAATACGGCTCGTATAATGACCGCCAGTCGCATCCCTCGGTCTGCTGAGTCCAGGAACCAAGATAACGAACCAGATCGTCAAAGTAGCTACACGCCCACACCCAAGGCTAATCGAGTGAGAGTCATATATCCCGTGACAGACAAGAGACAGATTGAGAGTTATACGGTTCCATCCCCCAATGCGGTTTGCGTGAGAAATCCGCAGGCCATCGCGAAGGATGCAGTTCAAGACGATATTCCAACTCCTCAAACGCCGAATAGACTAGAATCATTAGCACGTACACCCCGGTCTGCAGTAAGGATTGCAAACCCACCTTCGAATTTGTCAACATCCAAACAGCCTATCGCGAAGGATGGGATGCAAAATGATATTCCAACAACTCAAACGCCGAATAGACTAGACTCATTAGTATGTACGCCCCGGTCTGCCGTAAGGATTACAAATCCGTCTGCGAATCGGTCGACATCCAAACAACTTATCGCGAAGGATGGGATGCAAGATGATATTCAAACGACTCAAACGCCGAATAGACTAGAATCGGTAGCATATACACCCCGGTCTGCCATGAGGATTGCAAATCCGTCTTCGAATTTGTCAACATCCAAACAGCCTATCGCAAAGGACGAAATGCAAAATGACATTCCAACGACTCAAACGCCGAATAGACTAGAATCGTTAGCATATACACCCAGGTCTGCCGTGAGGATTGCAAATACGTCTTCAGTTCCGTCGGCATCCAAAATTTTCAACGACACGCATGAGTTACCAAAGTCGCTGAAATGGTTGACAGACAGAATAGAGTACGTCATCTATTTTATGAGTCTATAGGAAATGAATCATCGCTTGTTACTAATATGTAATTTATAGACACACTCCAATGGAAAGTACACCAATGCGCCCCCAAACTAGTGAAATGTCTACTCAAACGTCGCCATCTCTGATGACGTCTTTGATTCAGGAAAACTCTACTTGTCCTGATCAGCAAAGTGAGGCACCCGGGCCAAAACGGTAAGTTTACAAGTATTCGCCGTGGCTTTTTGTAGAATAATAAACTAATCGTTCGAAAAATCAGATTGAGATCTTCAGAAAAGGTACTGATGGACAGGCCGTTAATAATGGTAATAACTGATTCGGATACTGGGATGATTGTTAACATGGAGATTCTGGTTAAAGGCTTTGATATAGGTATTGTCTATGTACTAGCTGCTATTTGGGGACTTAGAATTTTGATTTATTAACACTGGCTATCTATTACATTGTAAATAATGATAGCTGAATTGTCGAAAGAGCTCATGAATGAGTTGTTACTTATAAAGCCAGCCGCCAACAATTCCGTCCAACAAATGGTGGATAATTTAGCGCATACGCCCCTTGCTACAACTAGACATTTTGCTACACCTGGGCCTCTTGCTACGCCTAGTTTCTTTAAAGATAGACTGCTACCCATAGATTCTGGCATGCAAACACCGGTAAGCAAGACAGTATCCGAATTGCAGTGTTCCGACAGGAGATTCAGGGAGAGCGAACTTTCGCTTGTTTTCGAGTACGAGAGTCCCGGATTCGAACGTTATGGGAATGAAATGGATACCAGAGAGGATGTAGAAGATGCGATAGCTCGGCTCCCCAAGCCAAGAAACTTTGATGCGATTGCAAGGGCGTTGGAGAAATTGTCGTCCGACGAAGCCAGGTTAAGCACTGATACAGACATGAAAGAGGTGAAAACAGAGGAAACTACAGGATCGACAATAATGGTCTTGACGCCTGTAAAAGCGAAAAGGAAAGATCGAGAAGGTATGCATCATCAATGCTTGTGTGGGCTACCATAATGATATAGGAGTTGATTTAATTGTCAATTTTGTAGAATTGGGAGTTTCGACGGTTATTACACCCGTTAGGTTAGTGGTGAATGAGTTAATTGTATTTGTTGTGGTATAGTAGTCGTTATTCTGATAAGATGAATTTCAGACGATCGGCTCGGGTCCACAAGAGATTTACTCGCGATGAAGACATGGAAAGCGATGGTGAACGTCAAATCGCCAAGCTTCTCGAGGATAACGGTTATGCCTATGTTCCTAATCCTGTATGTTATTTTTTGAGATTGTACTTATTATCAGATACCGTCGTCTAGCTCTATCTAATGATATCGTACTACATTTCTCACAGGCATTACTAGTTGAACCGCCACCCAAAAAAGCATATAGAAAAAAGGACGTTGAATAACCATTGTCGCGATGCAAGTATGTAAAAGAAAGCGAGATGTATAAACTTTTTTAGATTTGACGATCTGATTGTATTATAACCAAACTGTCAATCAACAGGTATATCGGAATCTATTTATCAAAATTACATTTCGGCAGCGGTTTTATGTTATGGCTTTTCAATATCATATTCCACGAATAGAACACATAAGCGAACAAACCAATGTCCAATTTACATAATTATCATTGTATAAAGTCAGCATCCGTAGTTGATAATGATGTTGCATCTAGGAATCCATGTAGAGTATTGGAATTTGAATGTTCGTAATAAGAGTCCTAGAGTCCAGCATCAGCATTATGTACTCATCGAACGGGTTATTGGATCTTCACTTTTTTTTACCCTTCGCTTTCTTCTTCTCCTTCTTCGATTCCTCCTTCTCCTTCTTCGCTTCCTCCTCCTCAACCATCTTTAACAACTCCTCTTGGGCCTGCTTTCTCTCCTTCTCAGATCTTTCTCTTTCCTGCCGTTCAATCTCGGCTTCTTCAGCCTTCTCTCTTGCTTCACGTATCTTGGCAGCTTTTTCTTCCCTTTCCTTCATTTCCCGCATTTGCTGTTCCATTTCCTTTTGCTGTTCGTGCACAACCATTTCTTGAGCTGTCTGAAGAATAGTCTGGCCCCAGCCATGCTTGTATTTATTAGCCTCCACTACGACATCGTTCAGTTCTACGTTGTAAAGCTCTGCCTCGGCAGCTAGTAATGAAGTCCATAGATCATCTCCAACTGCTCCCTGTTGTAATAATGTAGCAAGAGCTTGTTTGTCACTATTAATTTTCCCAGCGCGCACAATATCTGTCATCGCTCGACGTAGCAGAGCACTCTTGCGTTGAATCTCGCTTGCGGGTGGATCAGCATTCACCAAGGCATAGTAAATATCACGCGTCTTATGTTCTGGAAACCATGGTTCTAACTGTGCCCTTGCTAAATAATATGACAGTAATCTACCATGAGTATTGAGAAGCTTTTAGAATTCGTATCGTGTAGACTTTGTGTGAATCATAAATCCACATCAACTCCAATAATAACATAGAATCTATATGTAGGTAGCTAGTGTTCTCTATAACTGAGTTCGTGCTTGCCGGTTTCCGTGAAGCAGTAACTTTTAGTATAATCAACTTCCCACGAAACGAATGCATATCCTCGCTTTATCAGTAAAGCACCCACGAAAACTTGCCTGCTTTCCGCCGACGCCAAAAATACGAAAACGTGCTCATTACTAGCAGACACCCGCCCACATATACCACGGCAACAACTAAGGAAGACATATTTTGCTGTGTCAAATAACGGAATTTAACCTTTGGTTATATAGTCGAGCCAGAATTATGAAAATATGGATCTGTTGTGTTTTGTGTTTGCTTCCCATTGGTCGAAAAAAGTTCATATTTACAAATTATTAATTAACAGCATTCTTTCACGCTTTACCTTTCTGTCTCACATTCTTGTAAATCGTTTCCTTCGATTTACACTCGTTCTAAAACAATGGCTGAAGTGAATTCAACACGAGTTAGTCAATTGGTACGTAACTATGTTCCTGATGTTGATGATGCGATTATCGATTACGTTGTTGGCTATCTCGACGAAACCCCATCTATTCAAGATGAAGAAGATGTCATAGCTGACTTTGTCAGACCGATGTTGATTGATGCTGGAGGTGAAGAGGATCGTGTAAATCAACTTTGTGAAGAATTAACAAACTTGCTTGTTCACTACGGACAAGAGCAGTTCAATAAGGCAAATGAGCCCGCTAAATTAAGGCAACCGATAAACATGCGCAACCGGGATGCGGTCTCAGCAACAGCACGTTTGGCTTCGTCGGGTATCGATCTCGAGGCTGTTAGCGGTCGAAAAGTAGAAACAAGAGTGGATACACGGAAATTGGAAAAAGCAGAGGCAAAGATCAAAGCAAAATTAGAAAAGAGAGAGCGAAGATCTAATTACGAAGCTAGTAAATTGTTACAAAAGAGGGATGATGCTGAATTCTTAATGAGCGTCAATCCTATATTAGACTATACTTCGACAAGAGGAAAAGTTAAAGATGTTAAGGTGGAAAATTTCGACATATCATTTGCCGGCAGGCGTATTCTAACAAACGCTGACTTAACATTGACTTATGGCCGTCGATATGGTTTGGTTGGTCGTAACGGGATTGGGGTAAGTTTTTACAATTTTGTTTATTCAACAAATCATTACCCAGGCAATACTTTAACGAACCGGATATAAGGCGGGGTTTTCTCTACAATGTTAGATTAATACGCAACTTACCATTCACTAACTTTCCTCCTCTCTTTTTCTTATACGTGCTCCGTCAACGCAATTTGCATACATACAATGTTTGCAGAAATGTTTTGGGCTCGGAACTAAGCTCCTTATGTCAGATGGTTCCTCTAAAAGAGTTGAAGACATTCTCATCGACGATAACCTACAAGGCAATGATGGCGCGCCGAGGCGTGTCCTAAGTCTTTCTCGCGGAGTAGGACCTATGTATAAAGTGATTCCAGAACTGGGAAGTCCAGGCAAGCCGTTCGAATGTAATGACAAACACATTCTTGTACTTAAATTTGGGGGAAGACCCCGTATTGTCACGAGCGAAAATTTTGCATCAGCGCACCCAGGAGTGATTCTTCATTGGTATGAGTATGTTCAAAAGACAAATTTAATTGTCCCGCGGAAAGAAGATTTTTCATATGGCGCCGGAAAACTATACCGGAATAAATTTGTAGCGCAAGCGGCTGCTCACCAGGAGAAAATACGTAAATCTAACAGGTTGTCGCCGGATTTTATATGGGAAGTGGCTCTGGAAGACTTTTTAAAAGTTTGCCCGGAAGTGCAAAAATATTCATATATGTATCGCCCAAAGATAGTCCATTTTCAAGGACAAGACAGACTAGCTGGTATAGTGGAATCTATAACTGGCCGCTATCCGACCTCTGAATATATCTCTTATACTGCTTGGATGATTGGCTTTTGGATAAGTAGAGGATTGAAGGGTTCAGATTGTTTGATGCTCCCTAGAAATGAAACTCGTTCTTTAATTTATTACGTAGAAGAAGCGTGTACCATCTTGCAATGGAATTGTGTACATACGACCGACGACGTTTATACATATGTGAGCTTCGATCGCGGAACAGGAAAGCGTCAGTGCAATGTGTTCAGAAAGGTGCTTAGCGAACTTGGCTTACTTCATAATAAGAATATTCCAAATGCTCTAATGACAGACTGCCTTGAAACTGTTCGAAAACCGCTTCTAGCCGGTCTTGTGGATGGCGATAGTTTGCGCTGTTGGGATTCATCTATTGGACACTATGTCAAGTTGACTGTTTCTAGCTGGGACGTGGTAAAATCCATTAAACGATTGGCAAGTTTCTGTGGTCTTCTTAATGACAAACCTGATAGAGAGAGTTGTTATGATTGCAACGATCACAAGCGTCATTGGCATTGTGTTATATATGGTAGTGAATTGTTTACACTACCTTCTATGCGATATGATCTTATTTCGCTTGATAGAGGTTTATTTGAAATATTCCATCCTTCAGAATATATGTGGGGTTTCCAGATAGAAGAAATTGGTCACATGCCTTATTATGGATTCCAAGTGGATGGCAATCAACTTGTGCTATTGGAAGATTTGACTGTCACTCATAATTCAACGTTGCTGAGAACACTTTCGAGACGAGAATTAACTGTCCCGACTCACATTAGCATTCTACATGTCGAACAAGAAATGGTTGGCGATGATACTCTTGCCATTGAAGCTGTATTGAGTGCGGATATCTGGAGAGAACATCTTCTCGGAGAAGAAAAAAGATTAAATACTATGCTTGCTAAACTCGAAAAAATGGTTCCAGACGAAAACCAAACTTCAGAAGATATAGAGAAGGAGAAAGAGGACGCGAATGCGCAGTTGCAGGAGGTTTATCAGAAATTAGCTGACATTGAGAGCGACAAAGCAGAATCTCGTGCTGCTTCTATACTCTCCGGGTTAGGATTTCCAGAAGAGCGAATACGTGATCCAACAAAAACGTTCTCTGGAGGTTGGCGCATGCGGCTTGCGTTAGCTCGAGCATTATTCTGTCGACCTGATTTGTTACTACTAGACGAGCCTACAAATATGTTGGATATTCCTGCTGTTGCCTGGTTAGAACATTATTTAAAAAATTGGCCAAGTACACTACTTGTAGTGTCTCATGACAGAGAATTTCTTGATGAGGTTGCGACCGATATTTTACATCAGCATTCTGAACGTGTTGATTTCTACAGGGGGAATTTTACGCAGTTTTATGCGACTAAAGAAGAGCGACGCAAGAACCAACAGCGTGAGTATGAGGCCCAGATGCAATACAGACAACATCTACAAGACTTCATAGATCGTTGGAGATATAATGCAAAGAGAGGACCACAGGCTCAGAGCAAATTAAAATTGTTGGAGAAATTGCCGGTGATAGAACCTCCCGAAGTGGAAAGTTCAGTGACTTTCAGATTCCCTAACCCTGATCCTATTAGTCCGCCTATTCTTCAGTTAGATGATGTCGCATTTGGATACAAGTCGGGAGATCTGATTTTGTCTGACGTCAACCTATCGGTACAATTGGATTCACGCATAGCTGTAGTTGGTCCAAACGGAGCGGGAAAATCAACTCTACTGAAGCTTTTGACTGGTATGCTTCAGCCTCTCAAAGGATTTGTTCACCGTCATGGACGGTTACGGTTCGCTTTGTTTATGCAGCACCATGTGGATCAACTCGATCTAGACACGACTGCAGTCGGTTTCATGTCTAAAACTTGGCCAGGTAAAAGTGAGGAAGAGTATAGAAGGCAATTAGGAAGTTTCGGCATTACCGGAATGACAGCGTTACAACGATTGGACACATTGTCCGGCGGACAAAAAAGCAGAGTAGCATTTGCATGTTTAGGATTGCAGAACCCCCACATTTTGATTTTGGACGAGGTAATTGATAATATTTTGTTGTATCTTGTGTTATCATACTTGTTCACTAATTACGATTCCTGCCCAATTTAATAGCCGACAAATCATCTTGACATGGATTCTATGGATGCCCTAATAGCAGCCTTGAAAGAATTCAAGGGCGGTGTCATCCTTGTATCCCATGACGAGCGATTTATTGATTCGATTTGCAACGAGATTTGGGTGTGCGAGAATGGCAGGGTCGGGAAATTTGAAGGTGACAGTATTAAGCAATATAGGCAACTGATAGTACCTAAGGAAGAACCATGAATGGGGTCATTATGACGATAACCCCTGCAAAATTAATATAATAAGTTCCAAGTCCTGTCTGTGTTAGCTTTCGATTCAGTCTTGATTTGATTTAATAGATACTCCATAAGGAGAGTAGATCAAAAATTATACACTTCACATCGAATGCTTATAGTAAACACCATTTCCATCAATGACTATTTTGATGGTCTGTATTGATCGATAAAACTCCGTGTGAAAGTTGGTAGAATAAAGGACGCCTCGTGTATTTCAGCATTGTAATATTTGCACAGCTTCTCTTCCTGCTCGGGGGTCCATCTTCTCAATGGCTTACGAAGATTACGCCCTTCTTCCTTGCAACATACAAAAAGTCCTATCTGACCAGAGGGATACGTAGGGATTGTTGTGTAAGCGTATTCGGCCACGGGAAAGACATCAATACAGTATAGATGAATTTCCTTGATGAATGATAAATGAAGCCATTGACATTCGGCTTTGAGGGAACGCGATAGTAACAAGATGTGTGGGAATTGAAGTATAATTGAGTGTCTAAAATATGACGTTTTAAAAAATGTATATCTATACTAATACCGCCCTAATTACCTTGAATGCTCATAAGGCCACCCGGTCGGAGCGCGTCTCGTACTAACTTGAAAAAGTCTTTTCGAAATAAAGATTCCGCGGGGCCTAATTCGAAGACAGATTAACTTTTAGCGATCGAAACCATTACAGCAATACCGCAAAGGACTGTCGTGTATACTCGGATTCAGTTTGCACCGAAGCTTCCTACATCGAAATGACAAGGATGTTTGTCTATATGTTATTGTCACAACGATAGATTACATCTGATTTCCTATAACTTGACAGCGGCGTGATTTTCTTCTGTAAGCACGTCTTTTACGTCCGAAACGCAGAGAAATTATGGTTAAATTTTCTTGACATTGAGACTTGGTAAAGCACAATGAGAGGGGGACATGTTTCTCAATAACTGTACCGTGCCAGCATTCGCAATTTGGATTGCCGCATGCAGAATACAGCTCATAGGCGAAGGTGCACAAGACAGTCCTATTACAGCATCGATTTATCTCCTCCAGCGATTCTGCAAATACCACTCACCAATAGGATCCGATGTATCGATAATAATGGCATCATAAGTTTCGAGCTTCTCCTTCAGGTATTCAAATCCGTCTTGAATGACGACTTTGACTTTGGGATGATCAAATCCAACCGCCATATTTGGCAAATACTTTTTTGCTACTCGAATAACGGCGTCATCAATCTCACACAAGATTACCTCTTCTACACTCTCATGTTTGACAATCTCTCTTAATACTCCACCGTCCCCACCACCAATGACAAGTACTTTTCGAGGATCAGGATGGCAATTGAGTGGGAGATGGGTTATCATTTCTTGATACGCAAATTCATCACGCTCACTACATTGAACGACACCATCGAGAGCAAACACCACGCCATATGTCTTGGATTTGAAGATTAGAATATCTTGTAGCGCTGATTGTTCCATATGGAGAACTTCTTCAATTTCCAGGCACATGGCTATATTGGACGAATATAAATAAGTTCAATGGTAATAAACGGGAAGTTTTTAATATATTAATCCGACAGATACCTTGTCCAGGCCATAACAATGGCTTTTCCTTGAACCATCCGTCAACTATTTGCGGGTGTGATGGGAACGATGGTTTCGACATCTTGGAAGGATTTATCGAAGAAACGACGCATATAAGATGAATATATAGATGAGATGACTGAATCCGGATTATATGTAGTTATAATCCGTCAAAAATTTTCAACCCTCATGATGATTGTCACGTGGGCCAACTTTCAAATGGATGTCTTGTAAACTTGTATGACGATGCAGATAGCCCTCTGATAAGACTGATAACCATATTCACAATGTTTATTGCTAAGTAATAGTTACTGTCATTAACAAGAGACTGACGTGAGGTATAATAGGCAATTTCTTTGGGATAAATAGTCTCTGACCAACGATAATCGTTAAGAGAAGACCGGGATTTTATTTACACTCCCAAAGACGTTCGAGACAGAGCGATCAGCAACGTGCAATACCGACAACCTCCGCGCTTAGATCGAGGATCAAATAAGCGTCTATATTCGCTGAACATATTTACTTAAAGCACGCTTACTAAATAATTGTATAGATAATATAACTCAAAGAAGTAACCACTATATTGCGCGAAAAAAACAAAAACAAAACGAGAATGTATATTATTAACATAGACTTCTACTAAAACGCCGAGGTATCGGTTTGCCATGTACAACTGATACGTCATAAGATATTAGTTTTGATGCTTATCATTAGTAATATTATATAATGAAAATGGTAATAATCTCTTTATTAAATCTATTCACGATTCTAAATACATAAACATTATAATGTAATAAACTACCAATTTTTGATTGACTTAACATATCAACATAAGATCTTTTGTAGAACTGACAAAAAGAAATTCTCCAGCTTCTTCCAAGTTTGGGAAGTGCGCATGACGATTCTCTTTTTTATGTACTTTAGGAGAGCCCTTTTAACAGGATTTTTGAAACGATACAACGATTCAAATGCTTTGCGATACTATACACGCATGTGCCGCAATAAACATTAAAGGGAAAGTTAGGATTCGCTTAGTATTAGGTGAAAACGCGTTTTAGATAGATACAAGCATGTCCCAACCTATAGGCTTCGAATAGTCGACCAACTCGAGGTCGAATAACCGTCTAGGATTAGTGCCTACCGATCGACATCAGGTCGTGAGTAGTAAAGCGGCCACTAACTGTCTTTAGGAGAAGCTACCGCTCCGTTTGGAAATAGCTAAATCCCAAAGTCAGCGATCGATTGCTCTCCCGCGATTGTTGACTCGACATCATACATCAGGTAAATTATAATTGGTAGGATTTTGCTCAAATGTTAAATTAGATCATAATCCATCAGGTCATAAAGGACTGGTTTTTATGTGTGACGCAAGCATGTTGTTATTAATGTTAAACATAATACAAGATCAGTAATTTGATCAGGCAACAATCAAGTGTATATAAATATTTCAATAAATCTAGCACTGGGAAGCAAGACAGATTATGGGAATTTAAAATGTCGGAAATGAATCACTGCTTAGAACGGAAATATCGGTTAAACAGGATAATAATAATAATAAACTTATGGGGCATTTCAATATCCGGCAAGAACTACGAGCGGATAAAGTAATAATCGACATTGCGTATTCGATATGCGCATACAATTATAGTAATTTTTGCATTCATTCTTAGGAACAAGCGTTTAATTGTTACAGCTATCTTAACGAATCTATCGATTTAAAGTTTTGACGATGTTATTGATCAGGGATAGCTTCCCATTCAGCCTCAGGAACGAGGACGTCTTCCTTAACTAAAGAAATATAATTGATTTGCTTTTCTCGGGTAATAAAACTTTTATTATTATTTGTAATTAGCATTCTTAGCATAGCGAGTTTGGCAATTCATACCGATGTATTGACTATGTACCATATGAAAAGAGAGATCTATTGGAAGCTGGACATTGATATACATTTAGTTAGTAAAAGCGACAAGAGCATGGCGGACATACGAGCGTCAGGCCTTCGATCTTGCTAAATTAATTGTTTGAAATAAAAAATATTATACGAATCACGTGACAATGATTGACAAATTTAACCATTTTCTTGACCGTTATATCAATATCTGTCTCTACCAACAATTATGACCGCCGAAGAAGTCTATCATGCCAAAGATCCAGTTAATGATGGACTAAAAGCGGGTTTAGCTTTTGCTGGCATTGGTTTCGTGGTTGCTGCTCTGCAGAACTCGCTGCAGACAGAGGGTGTAGGAGCGTCTGGCGTACTTACTAAAGCAGGAGGATCAATGGCACATTTTGGTAAAGAAAATAAGGCATTAGTATAACAATCCAGGCAATAAATAACCTTAACCTTTCTTTCCATACAATCAGCACTTATCGGTGGGATATTTGCGGTAACACGTGCAACTACGGCTAACATACGAAAAAGTGACGATTGGGTCAATAGTGCGGCTGCAGGTTGTGCGGCCGGGTTAGCAGCGGGAATAAGAGGTAGAATTTTTTCGCAGTGTATCAGTGTCTCTCTCATATTAAATACAGTAGAACTGATTTGTTTAATTTAACATTCGATGACATAATCAAGCAAATTCTTGGCCTCTGAGCCTAGGTGCATGTGTGGGCATCGGAACGTTAATGGGAACCTATGAATTCACTGGACGATTCAAGGGAGTGCTGCATGGAAAATCTGAGGTTTGGATATAACAAATGAAGGCGAGAACGACTCATGAGTGAGCGTAATTTAACAAAAATCGAAAACGATTAATTAGTCTTTTAGCGATAGCGAGAATTAAAATGAATTTGGTTCCTATCTTATAGAATTTAGTGATAAGACAGCATCGATTAATGTATAATTGAATAATAGTATTGTAATAGAGTCTTGATCTTTACCGTGCTGTTCAATCAAATCAAGAACAGCATCTAGTCTCTTACATTGGTTGTATTTCTATTGCAGGAGGAGAAGCGCGCCTGGAGAAGAAAATTTGCTCGGAACCCGCAGATTCTCGAAGAGGATGAGTCACAATGAGAACACGAGCAAGCGACATTATTTGCGCATTACATAATAAATTCAGACCTGATTATTTACCTTTGTTTCAAGTAGTTTTCGTCTATATATACAGCGTTTGTAATTTTTGATTCTAATTTCAAGGGTTGATGTTTTTACAATCGGTCTGTTCCAAGTTTATGCTTGTTATTCTCTTTAATGGAAGTTTGACGGCATGTGTTTGTGTCTCGCTTTCTGATAACTTTGTTACGGGAATATCTTTAGAATTAATAGAAGCTTCTGGAACATTCACGTTTATTGTGTTTTCGTGCAAGGTAGAAAGTCTGCAAAACTGTAAACATCCTTCAGTTACAATCTAATTTTTGAAATCTGAAAGGAGCCAAAAAGCGGCTGTCACCTTAATGATACTTTAACAATGCTGATAAACTTCAATAATTGACAATGACAACAACCACTCTTTTTCAAATATCAAACATGAATATTTCTGAAGATGACCGAAAGACGTCTTCTACGGGTCAGCGGGTTTCATATTTCAAATTCTTATAATCACAAGACAGATTAGTCATTGAAGGAGTTCACTTTCAATGACAAATTTACGATCTTAGTATTCGCAATGAGTTAATCATAGAAAAATAAATTCTTATTGCTTCAAAAACATACGAGTATCAGAAAAAATAAATAAGTACTCGTGGAAATTGGTGAAATAATAATCTTATGAAGCATGGATAGTTAAAATTTGAAGCCTATAGGGATTAGAATGGTATATGGGAAAATGCATATTAATATTGAATGTTAAAAATTGTATGCTAATACTAAAAATGGGGAATTTAGTATTGATAGTCGGTCGAACAAGATCTTTCTTTCCGGTAAATTTCTGCAAACAAATTCATGAACGTGTAATTAGAAACCATATGGACCCAAGCTGATCAAAGCGTACTAGCTCACCAACCATAGAAGAGAAACAATACTCAGGGAGGAAACTATTTAAATATAAAATTTAAGATGTTTTAATTGTGGTTGTGATAGTTTATTATTATGCGTTAAAGAAATTTCTTTCCAATGTTTATCTAGTTGGAAAAAGCGTAATTGTTTCAATAATGGTGACCAGAGAAATAATATGGGGCAGACTGCAACAAAATCAGACAAAGTGAACATTCTATTATGTGAGCTAGTGTGGCTGAAAAATTGGCTAGAATGACTGATTAGCTTTGATTTATTATTATTCGTGGCACAGTAACAGCTATGGCCATGTCAGAATTCATCATGAATAAATTTATTTGCATTTTAAAATCTGTATTAACTTGGTATCAAATTGTAAACTTGGTTGAGATAAACGTTTTGCTTGCAGATATTAATATAAAACTAATTTACATTAAGTCCACCATGAATTACAGTACAATTAGAAGTATTTTAAAAAAAAATCAATGATACCCAAACTCTCAAATAATATCTAGATAAAGAAAAATTACTATATGAAATTTATCAAGAAGAACGAAAAATCATAACTAATAAAAGAAACGAAAACTTGAAGAAACAAATCCAACAGTCGTTTGTTGAGTGGACTTACAATCGTAAAATTTTTTTTGGCAAAATCATTTTAAGATAACAATAATAATAATTCTTTTCTTTACAAATACTTTTACTGCAACAATTTAAGGGCAAGATTTAATTATGAAAATAGCGATTTTGAAACACGCGGCATGAGCCGCTGAGACCGAGAACATTTTTATGTTCTCAATGTGGAGTATTGTCAGAAACCAAAATCCATAAGTGCAGTTATTGTGCGGATTATGGAAAAAGAGCTGCAAAAGAAATAGAAAAACATTTCACTTGACAGAATGGTGTTCTGGTCAACACAATCCTAATGCACAGCTTGCACGTGTAATGTGTGATATCGTAAAAGTCTTAAGTGATAAAGCTGATGATGGAAAATCGCTACTCAAAACCTTAGTGACTGACTTAGAAAATAGTGTTTTTACTTACTCCAAAATTAGATCTAAGGGACATTGTGTACTTGTTACCAAAAAGCGCAATAAAGATTTAAGCCAAAGAGAATGAAACGATATGTTACCTGTTTTAAATGATAACATTGCTGAAATAAATAGAGTATATTCTCCTCCCGGTTTTCGAATCGGCATTCCGGTAGGAGGTTTGGTCTTCAAAACAAATCATTTTTATTGCCGAATTGTTCCTAAATACATGGTTAACGAGGGAACTTACTCAACTACTAAAAGTTCCAAGAAAATAAGCACTGAAGAACAAAAACAGGTAAGCAAAGTTTTGGGGGCCAATACAGAAGGTATTTATATTGAACCCAACAAAGTCTTTGCTAGATAGACTTCGCAGAGATATAGCAAAAGGTTATACAGTTATTGAAACGAAAAATCGCTTACCAAAAGACATAAATGCTATCGATCTTGAAACCTGAGCTCAAATAGGAAAAGTAATGCAAGAGAAGCAAAAAACTAAGTTGCGATGGCTATATGATTTCGATGACTAGGCAGCCGAGATGTTTGAAATTGAAAAAATATGGAGAAGTTTGTTCTCAAAGAGCTGTTTACGAACTCTCCATCCTAAATTTGAACAAGACAGGCGCCGAAGCCGAGGAGAAAGCGAAAAAAGGGAAATAAGAGATTCAATGGAAAACGAAAAAATTGCGGAAAAACTGATGCTTATTATCGAAGGTTGAATTAGAAAACCAACTTAATAAAAGTATGAGAAAGAAAAATTACTGAGTGTTTGGCTGCGGATTACTGTTAGATCTTCTAATTATTTTAATAATTGTAATAATTGTAATAATTAAATCAAGAGAAAAAATTTAACTAAAAGCATTTAGCAATTTTTATTTAATATAAAATTATCCAATATTGGTTTGGGACAAGTAATGCCTTTAAACTCGTCTCTAACAAATGGACGAATATCATGATAAAGATGCTCTTGCCTTTTGTAATCCAAAGGAGAAGGAGTTATGGAAAAGGATTTATTTCTTTGGTAATTTCAGAAACACTTGATTTTCTAGTTTCAACAAATTAAATTCTGTACGAGTACCATTAGCAACCATTTGAGCTTTGACAACTCCAGGATTGGCTGCTTCAAAAATGCTGATACTTTTGTAAACCACTCAATTTTTTAAAGAAAATTCCCAACACAGAATTAAGATCCAAGTATTGAAAACCTTTTCCATTATCATAACACTAACCTTTATTAATCCCACTGTACTTGATCTTTTCACAACTTAACAATATGATTCATACAATCTACCTATAGAGTTTTTTAATCAATCCAAAACTATCATTACACTTGAATTTAGTATGTCCAGGCACCATAAAATTTAATTCAATACTTTCATAATAACTGCAAATTACTATATAGGTAAAATCAAATGGTAGCATTATTTTTATTCTGACCACCAGCGTTATCGCAGGTAATCTTTAAATGTTTTCCCACCTTTATTCAATCTCTTATTCCATTGAATACCATGCTCAGTGTGCCATTAGGACCTTTGCCCACAAACTTATTGGTTATGAGACGGTGTGGAATATTATAAAAATGAAGTGTGCTGGTGATTGTGAATACCTCTTTTTTGATTCTTCATATATGTTCGCGAAACTTAGCTAAAGTCGATACTTTCTACATAATAATAATTCATGTGATATAGATAGACAAAAATTCTGTTTATTTCGAAAATCTAGTGTAGAAGAAGAGTATAGGGATGAGAATCTTGTGTTAGAGATATTAGCAATAGAAACAAATTAGCTATAGATTTTCCGTAAACATGAGAGAGCAAAGAAATAACTTGATCATTCTGATTAGCAAAATGTCATTATTTTTCTTGCGTGTGATGCCATTCTCATATGGGCATGCTGCAACAAAACCAGACAAAGTGATTCCTCAAAGCTGTATCTTATTATTAGTATATACAAACTTATATCATACCAAAATATAACTTTATTGAGTAAACTTCTACCTGAATTACAATATGCTGAATATAGGATTATCTCTATATAAAAATAAAATATATGAAACTAATTTACATCAAATCCACTATGGAACCAAAGAATTACGGCACCATTAGAAGCATTCTTAAGAAAGCTCAAGGAGAAAAAATTGCTCCCTACATTTTTAAAATCAATAATACCCAAACTCTCCAGGACTATCTAGATAAAGAAAAAATTACTTATGAAATTTACCAAGAAGAACGAAAAATAAAAGCCATTAAACGAGAATCTTATGATGAACCAAGAAAGAATAAGAAACGAAAGCTAGAACATAAAGCAAATATCTGTTTCTTTATTATCGATAACGGGACAATTTTCCATAATTCTTTATATACTGTTCGAGTAAGAATAGCAACAATACATAATTTTGGTTCGCTGTGCCCAAGTACTACAAATCCGACACGATTCATGATCAGCAAAACCTGTATCGTTTTAGAAACAATGGGTAAGTATAAAAAAGGAAACACGAATAAATCATTAGATTTGATCGGCAAATTTCAAGTCCATGGTTATGATGCATGTTTACAATTTTGAAATTGGTATAAAACCACACCATTTCACAATTAAAGAAACAAATTACAAGCGATCGAATTGCAACCGTATTATCAAAAGCATAATTTTATAATCTACAAAAATCAAATAACAATCCCACTCAATGTTCACTTTCGCTATTAAAATATTCTGCGAGTTGCTGCTGCTGCTTATCATTGATACTTCGCTCTACCATAAAACTCACAACCAAGTCCGAATTATAACTCAAACGCTTTTTTAAGCGATAAAATCAAGGACAATTAAATCAAAATACCAGCTGCTTATTGCGCGAAAATATTTATCAAGTTTGTGGACTCAGTCGTATTTAACAAAATACCACAAAGTGCACGGAAGAAAAAGCATTATTGCTTTTATTCTAAAAGGCCAATTATCGAGAAAACCGATTGAAGCGCTTAAAAAATGGGTAGATAAAGAAAAGGAGAAGGGAAATATAGACGTTAATAGCATTTATAATAATATATAGCATAGATTTCACTAGAGCGACCAAAGTATAGGGATACTCATCAATGGCTTTGGGTCCGAGTATTTCCTCCCATGCAATCGCTCTAGTGAATCTTCGATATACGTTGTTTTTAAGTCAATATGACAAATTACATGTATCAATTATTGTAAATATCTTATTATATTAATCTTGCAATGCATACTCAAATCTTTAAATAAACAACGGCGCATTAATTATCATTGGTCACATTCTGCATACAGGGAACAGTAAAAGGTCTAGAAAGTTCCTCATAATACGTCATTGATTAAGCCGCGTTAGTACATTAGATCACATCGCACAGCACATCTTCTTACGTGTCTTTATCATCATGGAAGATTTCAAGAAACTTCCCCAAGATTTACAAACTCAAGAAAACCTTGATCGTCTGTTGGAGCTCGAGCAGAAAAAGTTGGAATTGGAGAAGCTCCGCCTCCAACAAGGTTCTGCAGGTAACGACTTTGTGACTCGGGCATTGGGGACGTAGAGTAGTGTGTACTTAGGGTAGAGTAGACGTAGCAATATGGGTTTCATACATAGAAGAGAGTTAAGGGTGTAAATACCATGACTGCATTCCGAATATTTTCACGAGTTATATTTTTATTTATGGTGCTGGATCTTGTCCGCCTCCGCATTCCTCTCTGTCACAACGTTTGTCACTTCGACTGCACTTTGGATATTCGTAACTGCGCCATTTATTCATTCCATCTATCCGTACTCGTTGCGATTCCATCCATATCATCTATCCGCTTTCCCACTACCAACCATACCAAATCGACGTTTCTCGCTCATTTGCCTCCCGTCCCGTTAATCACCTTCTGTCCTTCCAGCTGGCACTACTGGTGAGTGACATTTTTATTTATGATGCCGGATCATGTTCGTCATTTCTAATTGCTCATCCCCGTTTAATCTTTTATCCATTGACTTTAGCACCTAACTGGAACAATAGTGGCTCGGTGTATAACTGGATGCGAAGATTCGATTTTAATCGTGGCCGGAACCGTGTGCGTCTTTTCTCCGCTTTGTTAATTTTTTGATTGTACATTTTAGCTTCTTCAGCCAAAGCCTAATTGATTTTTTCAGCTTGTTAAATCCTTCGGTAAAATCTTTGAGCTCTGTGGACGAGAAACCACTATTGGCACCCTCTGGGATGGTGACCCAATATTGGCCCGAAACGGAGTCCAGGACAGATTTAAATGCCGCAAGGAAGGTGATAAGAAACTTCATCCCATCCCTGTCTTGGCTGGTGGGCCTGGAACAGGGAAAAGCAGATTTCTTGATGAGATTGAGAAGATGCTCTTGCAACGTGCCAACAGCTCTAATGATGAATTCAAAAATGCTTTCAAGAATATGATTGTTATTAACACCACCTATGGAAATGGATCCCCAGCTGATGATATAGATATGCAACTTGGTGCCCTGTCATCTTTTGTGCTATGTATTCTATTTGAGTACTTCCGACCTCAGTATAAAACTGGGGATAATTACACTTTTACCAAATTCCGTGGTGTCTGCCAGATTGGAGACATTTCAAAACTTACTCTGGACACAGCCCTTGAGGTTATCTATGCTGATATCAAGGAACAAGTAACAACTTCTAATGAAGCTCCTGGTCTGCTGGTTGTAGTTATTGACATCGATGAGTTTAACAAATTGCATGCCTTGAGCAAGGAGGCATGTAAGAAACTCATAAACACCATTGGAGGAACACTGTGTGCATCACCTCCAAATATTTTTTTAATTCCTATTCTGGCTGGAACAATTGAAGGACCCTTGGAGCATTATATTACAGAGTCTATGCACAAATCACTTCGTCTCCCATTACCTCTCCTTGAGAATAAAGATGCAATCAAAATTGGCAAAGCCATCAAACTTGATGAAAACTATGCCCATCTCAATGAGTATTATCAACTTTGCATTGGAGATATTGGAGGTCATGTTAGAACCTTGGAATATTTCTATGAATGACTTCACCTTCTTTTGGGTATATTGAGAAATCCTTATGATATTGATCTCTCAGAAATCATGAATGCCATCAAAATCCAGCTCCTGGATGACTACAAGTTAACCCATTACTCAAATTGGTTGACCAAAACTCTTGCAAAAGCCATATTGGGCTTGCCAGTTCTAAAAACTGATTCAATCAATGTTGGCAAGGAATTTACCACCTATGAGGAGCTTAGTTCAAGGGGGATACTTAATCTAGTCCTGTATAACACAACAAGTAAGGAATACCAAATCCAAATACCTTACATATGGACAAGTGCACTTGTTCGCAACTCCAATGAACATGAGATGATCTTTTGGCAAGAGATGCTCAACTATGAAGAGCCAATGCATTGGCGGCAGTGGGAAGATTTTAATGCTCAATTCTGGGCACTGCGCCTCAATCTTTTCTGCTTAGCAGGCAATAAGAAAATCAAATTGAAGGAACTTCTTAGAGGAGCTAGCATTTCATGCAGCCTTCCAGATGTTGAAGTCACTCTCCCAGAAACATCCCAATTGTGCCAATTAAAACATCAATATCTGAAGGGTAAGCTCTATTAATTTTATGGTATAGAATCTATTTCAAGAATTTCTGAAATGCTAATATGGGGCAGACTGCAACAAAACCAGACAAAGTGAACATTCTATTATGTGACATAAATGAGAGGCTGCTTATGATGTGGCTGTAAAATTGACCAGTGTGACTGATGACATTTTGAAAAGTAAATAATGGTGCTCATTCATAACTTATGGACCTGTTAATTTAATGTTCACTTTATCATACCAGAATGTGATAAATATAAACCATAACAGGATTAATATAGGATTACCTCTATATAAAATTATAATATGAAACTAATTTACATTAAATCCACTATGGAACCCAAAAATTACAGCACTATTAGAAGCATTCTGAAAAAAGCTCAAGGAGAAAAAATTGCTCCCTATGTTTTTAAAATCAATGATACCCAAACACTCCAGGAATATCTAGATAAAGAAAAGATTACTTATGAAATTTATCAAGAAGAACGAAAAATAAAAACCATTAAACGAACATTACCACCAACTTATGATGAACCAAGAAAGAAACGAAAATTAGAAACATAAAGCAATATCTATTTCTTTAATAATTATCAATAAAAATCAGGTGTTTAATTATCTAATACTAAAGAAAAACAAATATTATTTGTATTGACTATTGAAACAGTTTTAATTTAAATGAATAGAAAATGTCTTCAAATTACTTTTTTATTTTCAATCAAGATCATCTCTTATTTTCTTTAACTTCAATTTGAGCAATTTGAACATTCTGTTGCCCTTTCAATAAATTGTTTTCCTCTTCTAATTGTTTAATCTTTTCTTCTAAACTCTTTATCTTATCCAATAACTCTTGCTTCTGTCTTTTACTTCACTCTTCAGACTTTTCTTGAAATTTGGCTACTTCTTCTCTTTCAATTTCTAGTGCTTCCTCAGCTGCAGCTTTTTCTTCTTGTAGTTTATTTATTTGTCGTTCATAAAAGGTAGATTGGCTTATTTCTTCATTAGGTAAGAGGGGGAGCTCTTTTTCTTCCAAGACTTCATTGTTTCTAATACAGTAGCAAATATTCTTACCAGTAACAATATCAAAATCTAACTTAGTTTGCAATCTACCACATCTATTACATTTTAACAATTCATCATTCCAATATTTTTCTTCACATCTTTCACAAACCATGTCATCTGAAATTCATTCCCCAGTTACTTTGCTACGGACTCTTATTTGATGAACAGACTTGTTATTTTTGTTTTCAAATTTAGAGCAAAAATCACAAGTTTTTTTACTTTCTTTCTCCAATTCTAAAACTGTGTATTCCAGTTCTCTCATTATCATTACAATTTCTCGTTTATTTAGACTTAACTTCTACTTGAGCAATCATTTCTTGGTTGTGAAATTTTTCCTTTTTGACTAGACTTAGTAATTTTTGAATCTTAACCTTTGTTTTTGTTTTTAATTGTTTAAACATGCTCCATTTAATTGAGGATGATTTACTTTCTTCTTCAACAGGTAAAGCAGGCAAAGGTTTGCTGTTTAAATAGTGTAAACTCTTTAAACTTTCATTTTGTGATTCACTATCAGATAATTGCTTACTTAGCTTTTCTATCCTTTTGCTCTTTTGACTTGACTCTTCTTCTAAAATTTCAACTCGGGCTTCTAGATAAGAAATTTTTTCACTAGCACTTTTGAGTTTCCTGTTTTTTTCTTTTATATCTTCTGCTTGATATTTTTTTCATTCTCCACTCGCCTCTAATGACTCAGTGCGGTCTTTAACATCGTCTTCCAATTTTTTGATAACTGCAAAAATAACCTCATTTAGTTCTTCTTCTGTTCTGCTCATTAATCCTTTTAATTCTTCTTCATGCCAGAAATCCCATTGCCCCTTTTCACGTCAACTGCCTCAATTGTTTTTTTCTTTTCGAGTTTCTTCCTTATGTCAAAACGATAAAAGTTCTACTGTTTTTCTTTTTAAGCCTTCGACCTGCTCTTTATAATTCTTCAATTCAGCAATTTTAAGAACATAGTTTTCATTTTCAATTTTTCTTTCAAATATTGTAGCCCGACTATCACGAGCAATTATCCTTAATTGTTGGTTTTCTTCTAATAGTTTCTTATTATTTTCTTGGAGTTCTGTGTTTACCATTTTTTATTTATTTTTATTTATTTTTTTAATATACTTTTATCCTTTTTATGAGAAATATTAAGTATATAGTTATTTTAATATTTTTTATTTAGGCTTTAAAAATTAAACATGGGTGAATCTAGCAACATTTGGTAAAAGTTTAGACAGAGAGCATTTAGTTTAAATATTTTATTCACTGCCAGTATAGGTTGGTCTTGGACAAGTAATGTCTTTAAACTCATCTCTGACAAATGCACGAATGTTTTGGTAAAGATACTCCTGTCTTTTGTAATCCAAAGGAGGAGGGGTTAGTACTAAGATGGAAAAGGATTTAATTTCTTTGGTAATTTCAGAAACGTTTGCTTTTATCGTTTTTAACAAATTAAATTCGGTAAAAGCACCATTAGCAACCAACTGAGCTTTGACAATTCCAAGATTAGCTGCTTCAAATACAAAATGCTGATATTTTTGCAAACCATTCAATTTTTTAAAGAAAATTCCCAATACCGAATTAAGATCTAAGTATTGAAAGCCTTCTCCACTGTCATAACACTGAGCTTTATTTAATCCAGCTGTACTCGATTTTTTCACAACCTCAACAATATGTTTTACACAATCTACCGTTGTTTTTCGATAAAGTTTTTTAATTAATCCGAAACTACCATCACACTTGAATTTAGTATGTCCAGGTACCATGAAATTTAATTCGATACTTTCATAATAACCGCAAATTACTAAATATAAGTAAAATCAAATGGTCGCATTATTTTTATTCTGTCCACCCGCGTTATCACAAGTAATCTTTAAATATTTTTCACCTTTATTCAATCGCTTAATCCCATCGAATACCATGCTCAGTGTGCCGTTAGGACCTTTGCCGATAATTTCGTCTTCATCAAGAACGTAGTTAATTTGTTCGCGTACTGCTTCATCTTGTATACCAAATAAATGTACTTTACGCGGACTGAGATAATAAATCTTACTTACCTGTTGATCGGAATGGGGCACGTGAACATTTTGCGCTCAATCGTAACTGTAATGAGCAGTAGCATCAACACTACAATAACCAGCTTTACCTCTTGTTATAAAATGCTCATCTACCAATTTTCTCTGTTGTTCTGCTAATTTCGTATTTTTGTTGTAA